GGCATAATTAAAAAAAAAAAATTAATAATATATACGATTACAAAATTAATGTTTACAATTATTTTATAATAAATGAATAGTAATAAAATAAAAATATAAAATTTAACACTATGTAGAATATTTATATTAATAATAATTTTAATTACATTAATTTTATAGTAAGAATTTATTTAGAACTGTTTATTGAAAGGATATTAGGGGACTAATATAAGTCTTCAATCTTTTTTTGTCTGGATTTAATTTTATAGTTATTTTCAGAGTGTTTTTAACTTTAAAAAAAATATGATTTACAATTTTTTTTTTTATTATTTTAAACAAACATGTATTTACAATCTGTAATATAAAAAAACATTAAGTAAATTTGATAATTTTTTTTTTTGTACAAGGTTTGGAGACTTGAGTAAAGGGGGCGACCATCGACACTACTTAAAAACAAATTTTTACAGTTGTATTCTTGTTGTTGAGAGAAAAAAATTATTTCGAGTTAATTCACAATCACAAATAGCATACGTTATTAGTAGAGATTACTTGACCCATTTTGTATTAACTTTTTTAAAATTCGATATTTCAATAAATGAGACACGCTATAATATTAATTGTTATTATACTGATATTATTATTAATTAGTTATCAATTATTTATTACCCAATAAAATGTTAAAAGTTATACATTTATTGTGATGTTGAAGTGACTGTATTTTATCTTAATGTTAGTTTTTTTATTGATTATTAGTTAAATAGTTTAGTTTTAGACATAATAAAGACTTATTTATTTATTGCGTGGATTAAAACATAACATGGTGTACATTGATTTCTTAAGCTTCTATATTTTCATCATAAAAATAATAAAAATAATTTGGTGTGTATAACAAAAAATAAATAAATATTGTTTAATATGTAAATATTGCGCGATTTAAGTTCACTTTTTTGAATGGTAAAAATTTAGTTTTTTAACTATAGGACTATAATATTATAGCCAAAAGTAGTTCTTTCCAGCGCGATATGATCTTTATACAAACCATTTATGTGGATGTGTGGCACTCTCTTGAGTACCTACATTTACCTATTAGAATTTAAAGTATTATAGATATATATAGCTATACATATATAGTAAAATATCATAAAGCTATACATAATAAGTGTAGTTTATTATTTTAAAGTGTTTGTATACGTTAACTTGGTTACTTAAATATTTAATTAATTTGTTAATTATTTATTTAATGTAGTCTGATATATCTTGCTTGGAGAAACGCCGTAAGCTTATGGATACTGTGTTTAAATGTGACCAGCACAAACGCTTAGTGGACCAGGGGAATCGAAAGTTTTCTCATATGGCGTTAAAAGGCGCCATAATAGTTTACGCGTATAGAGACGAAAAAGGGCATACATTGGCCAGTAAAATACTAGAATCATTGGTGGATATTGATGCGCTTCTATCAAAATGGAGATGTAAATATTTTATTAATTATAATAATGTTTAAAATTAAAATTTATAGAAATATGATAATTACTTATATGGATATATTATAATACAAACTATGTGATAACTAGAGCTAGGGATTTATAGGCGTTTGCATGTTTTTCAATAATCTTTAAAAACATACCTAGCAAAATAATATAGACATTTGTTTCAAAGAACTAGAAGTTTAAATAATCATTCTTAATTTATAAATTTTGCATGTTCGGCTCTTTTTTTTCCCTAAAAGTGCATATTTTGTTATACTTGTATTTTAAGTAAATATTTCAAATATTTCATATAAAAAAAAAATTAAAACAATGTGTGTTATATAGAGTAATATTTTATACGTACTATATAATATTTAGTATGAATTTTCTAGAAGTTGAAAAAAAATATATTAAAGTGATTAAATATAAATAATTGAATAATCTATCGATCGTGTGTTTTCCCAATTATTCGTGTGTTGTGAAAAGTGAAAACTATAAAATTGGTCGATAAGGAATATGCCAAATACGATCAGTTGATGCCAGTTCGTTAGTTCGTATTGTACGTGTTTTTGTCTTGCGTTAATATAGTTAGTATAAATGTATAATATAGAGTAGGTATAGTTTTTTTTTTGTGAAAATGAAATTAAATATGTTTTATTTAATAATAAATAAGTCATTTATTTTTATGAGCATATTTTAGAATTTTTTCATGTTTTTAAAACATGTATGATAATTTTTAAAGACATAAATGCATGTATATTTTAAGGTTTTTTAGAGCATGAAGTTTCTAGTCCTATTAATAAGGATTAAGTATCAATCATTATTATATGATATTATCATGTATAAACGGTTATATTTGGGAACTAATTTTTAAACATAATTTGAATTTTCACAGACATTATATTAATAATAATTAACATTTTTGAGTATAAAGTTTAATTTTAATTTAATAGGTACTCAAAACTATTAATTGTTATTATTTAAATAAAATAGTAATATTTGAATAATACTATATATTGATGATTTTTTAATATTTTATATTTTTATGTGATAAATAATAAATACAAATTGTATGTTTTATAATATATATATATATTTAATGAAAGTTAAATTTAATTTCAAATAATTTTATAGACAGTCATTTCGTTATGGTAAACAAGATGATTGGATCCTATAGTTCTGGCACGGGTGGTACTACTGGTTCGGAGTATTTAAGATCTACACTATGGTAAGTATTAGGTATCTACGATAAGTAATAAGTAATTAAATGTTTATTAATTTTAATTCCCAACGTCTATAAATAAATGGTGACAATGTATTTTCGATATAATTCTGTAAAGAAAATTTAAAAGAAACGTTAATCGTTATGTTACATTTTCGAGCCAATAGACTTAGAAACAAACAATTTTCATTTATAAATCGAAAAAAATTATTAAAAAGTGGAAAATTTCAAATGTCTATTTTAATAGTACATCATGAACTAGATTATTTAGAAAATACAAGAATAATTATGTGGTGAAAATTTAAAGTCTACAGTTATTATTATTTACAACAAAAAAATAAAATAAAGATTTCTTCTACACGGAATCTGATAAAAAATACATATCAAAATTAGTAAGTAGGTAATTCGTTTTTAAATCATAACCATCGTTGATACAATGATATGACATTAATTCTAAATGTCTAATTTTCAAAAATATACTTCACCAACTTATTTAATATCTATGATAACTCTAAGTAGCTGCCTACATGGTACCTAACTATATATTATTCAATAACTTATAGTTTATTAAATCTTTATTTAGATAATTATTCATAAATTAAATTAAGATATTTTAATATTTATAAATTTAAAATGTAAATATTTAATAATTTTAAAATAATTTTTTAAATTTTTTACACTAATACCGGATTGTATAAAAATTGTATTATTTTAATGAATTAATAAATTATTTAAACGTACCATTAGCTTATTATTGATGTATTAAATGTTTAGTTAAAATTTAATTTCAGTGATTCATATCGAATATTCATTGACTTGGTCAACCTACCAGCACTAATAGTTCCTGCTACACATGTCCCGCCATTAATAAAATCACAAGGTAAATCAATTAAAAATTAAACACTATTTTTTTGATTAAAAATATATTGATTTGTGAATTATAATTGTATTTTGGATTTAAAAACTATAATATAAAATTAGCTCGTTTCTTTAAGTCACTGCAATATCTAGCCAATAAGTTTGTTAATCTTTTAACATTTATAAGATACTTACTTAACATTGTTCAAAACATATAATTAATTGAAGCACTTGAACATATTAAATAAATGTTTATTTCAACAAGTATTAAAACAACTGTGTATTTTTTTAAATTTAATTTAAAGTTCAAAACAATGATAATAAACGGTGTTGCTGTTATCTTTCGAATGTGTCCCCTGAATATCATAAACTTATAGTTATTGGCTGGCCATCGCTTAGTTTTTAGTGATTATTGAATGTTGATAATCAGTAATTTGTACTAATATATACCATTGAATAGATAATAGTATTGTTCGATGGTGATTCATCGAATAGTTTAAATAAATTAATAAAAAACGAATACAGGAATAACTTAAATACTCTAAAGAAAATTAAAGAAAATTGCAATACGTTTGTGCATCTTTTAGAGATTACGATTCACGCTTGACGGTATTATTGATATAGGCTTATAGTCTTATAGATATTTAGGATGTCCTAATTTAAGATACCTCTTAACACTTAACGAATGTCATAACATCTAGTTCTAAATTATAAAAAAAAATCTTTTATAAATCTTGTTCTGTTTATTTATACTAGTTAAGTTTTATTATGCAGTATCATTATTGGTTATACACTTATAAACTTACAAGTTACAAACATCACTCAGCTGTAAGAATACAGAATAAATAAAATCCCATAAAAATAATTGAACCTGTGTAAACAATTCAAGAATTACATATTTGTGAATTGTAATCTTGCAATGGCATAGACTACCATCACAGATATAAAATGAAATCTTTCTGAATTCCGAAAGTACCTACACCCTACACTTTTATAATAGTATATTTATGTTAATCATTTCTGTAAAAATAATCAATATTTTTTTTACTTACTCTAACATCACGGCCATTGATTTATAAATAATTAATTCATGTAAATATTGTAAATTTAAAAAGTAGGTACATACTCATTCTAAAATTTAAAATCATAAATGAGTGTCTAAAAGCTCTTGAAATTTAAACAAATAATATGTACTCTTCATCTTGAGTTCTATGTTTTCTAACATTATTTGTCTAGTTGTTTATGTATTAAATAGCGTTTTATTCCACAATGTTTTTATAATTACCTATGATTTAAACTAAAAGTAGAAATAATAGGTAAGTTAATTGTTTTATAGATGGACTATCCATACATAATACAATAAACAAGACGAAGTTAAAAATATAATTTATTTAGACGTTGATACTTGATTATAAAAAATAATAAATATTTGATATTTATTAAAATTTTCAAGCTTTAAATGGATCAGAAAAACAAAATGAGAGTTTCAAACAATAAACTTATAATTACATTATAAATTTATATTATAGTAATTTAGATTTTGTAAATCATAATAGTACCAGCATGATACATATACCAAACAACGTGATCATAATCAATATTATATATTATAGACAGTTTATAATTATGTGTGATAATACTAATAATTAATATATACATAATACGTGGCTTTTGATGCATTGCATATCATAAATATGCATGTAATGTTATCCAACAATCTCAGTATCTTGTTTAGCATTATCCATATTTAGAGCATCTAAAACATATATGACAATGTACATTTAGCTAACTAATAATGTTAGGTTGCCTGTTTGTAATTATTTTATTTTATTTTTATAATACATAAATACATTATAACACGTACCTAGATACTTATGTATTTATGTACATTTGTATTTGATTAAGGGATTTTCATCGATAATATTTTAAGATACTAAAATACTAATAAATCAAAATTATCGTCAAGTTAATATCAAGGTGTATAATAGGAGTCAACAATTTACTGTACCATTTTTGTGCATTGAATTCCATGGCTGAGTTTTTGCTGAGCCAAATATGATAAAAAATAAATTGCATACGAACAGCACTATTGCACCACTGATAAACACGATTCGCCATTCCGCAACTGAAGTCTATTATTGTATAAATAATTTATTAATAAAATAATTCAACAATTTGATGTAAAAAACCAACATAAACATAAGTGACAAATCATTAATAGAATTGATTATCAAAGCAATCCGACTGCAATTCGAAAAATGAAAATAGAAAAAATGATATTCTTCTATATACAATAAGTAGGTACGTATATATATTGAGTAGGTTACACAGAAATATATGACTTGGCACAGAATTATGTGATTTACGTAATATTTGAGTCTATTTATATACCTGATCGTCAACAATGAGTCCGACGAACAGAGGGGCAATAATACCCCCGGAAGCTGCGGCTGTATTGGTGATTCCCATCAGGAGCCCAGCGTAGTTGGGTGACAGATCCATGTGATTTATGTTGAATCCAGCGTTCGATGAACACCCTATGGCTACGATGAACACGTAAATAATGATTGTCAAGTGAGTGTCTTCTATAAAACCTAGTACGATTAAGCCAATGGTACCACCCCACATGGATATTGTGTTCCAGAATTTTCTAGACATAGTGAGGGTGGTGATTTTGTGCTTATTCAGAAAGTCGGCTATGAAGGTGACCGGTATTTGGAGTACGAACATGGCGAGGTATGGTAACGACGACAGCATACCGTCATCCTTAATATCGAATTTGAGAACCGTATTTATGAATGTAGGCATTTCAGTCAACAACAGCCAAAATCCCCAGTTATGGCCAATGTGTGCTACGGTGGTGGCCCACACCGGCAACGACGTGAATATGGATTTCCACGGAGTATCTGATAACTGATCAAAGAGATGACTAATAAATTTGTCGTTTTATTATGATTTTGCATTTACAAATTAAATTATGTTTAACACTCAAATATAACATAAGTTTATAAAAGTCGTGACAGTTATGTGCAAGTATATAAAGTTTTACCGAGAAAGAGTTATGTTAAAAAACTACATAGAGAAAAATATATAATGATTTTTGAAAGTGAATCAGTAATAAGTCTAGAAATTACTTTTGAAACATACATTATATTTAGTTTTAATATTTTTATCTTTTAACTTGTTTATACTATAATAATAGTAATACTATATTGTCTAACATTTTTTAATTGGAAGTTAAAAATTTGAATTTATTTTAAATAACGATAGAAGTATATTTGCAGGTTAATATTACTTTAATGTGTATTTTTTATAAAATGGGTTATTTGAAAATTATATTTTTTTGTTAGTTAATGTTATTAAAATTTGCATTCAAGAATTATTTTTTGGTGTTTTGGATTTATAGAATGGTTTATTAATATTTATATTTTTAAAGGCTCAAGCTATCAGATTGGAAGGAAGGTTAACATTTTAGATCTAGTTTTAGATTTTTATCTCAACTAAACAGTCATCATCTTTTAATAAAATATATATTACATACCCCAAATAAAATTGTGTTTTTAGTTTAAAAATTAAAAAGTAAAATAAAATATCGTATAAATATAATATTCAGGGAGGTTTCCAATAAATGTTTTTCTAATAATATGTATCGGCGTTCGGTCATTCTTGTAAATAATACATACTTTGTATTATTGTGCAGTGTTAGACGTAATACCACTAAATAAATTTGAAACTTAAACTCATATTAATTTGAAACAGAAAACAATACGAAAAACCTTAATTCACGAGTGATAACCATATCATGTTGTCGTTAAATGATACTATTGTAATTTGCTTACTTTTATTATCTGATAACTACTTTTTTTTCTACTTTCGACGTATGAAGGTCATTAAGTATAAATTAAATCAATAAGCTGTCTGATTATTAATACCATATTAAAAATAAGTAAATGTTATTGCTAATTATTGAGAATTGTAGTTTAATAAATGTTTACAATGTTTATAAGTATCTTCAAATTAATTTATGGCATTGTAATATTATTCATTGTAATATTGTATCATATAAATTTAATTTAGATAATTTTAACACAGTAATGTAGGTATTATAATATATATAAACATATACCTACATAATGTATATTGTTACACAACTTATGAAATATTTCACAGATATCGAAAAGTTTTGTATGTGTGAATATTTTTCTAAAATAAATATACCTATTTAATATAACATACCTACGCTTATATGGGTGTTTGTGGTACCTATTGGTACCTTTTTATGGGAGTAACCAAATTGGTTCCCGTTTGGCCGAATTGGTTCCTGTTTGAAAAAGGTATTTTATTAGGTTGAGCCGAATTTGTTCCCGTTTGTGTACAGGTAATTTTTAATTTTTAATAATTGGTACAAAATATAAATTAGATAGTATAAAATATAAATATACCTACACGATTACACTCTATAGTCTATAGCAATTAGTAAATATTTTTTCAAAAAAAATTCACGGGCCAAGTTTTAAGTGTCAAAGGTTAGGTTAGGTTAGGTTAGGCAAAGATACATACAAAATCCATTTATTTAAATATGACTTAATAATTAATATATTATGAAATTACTTTTATTATAATTACTATTATTTATTTTTATTTTAATATTTTGTACCTACACCTATAAGTGATGACTATAGTTGATTCCAAACCAACAATTTAAAATTGTATATATTATATCATTATTTTTAAAACACACATTAACGCACATTTTTAACCAAGCCTACTTTTTAGTTGACAGTGTATTAACATTTATAATAGGTATCTAAAAAATATTTTTCATTAAAAAAAATCGTTTATATATCTTAATTATAATATAATATGTATCATGGAGTTTAATCTATTTTTCGAAAATGACAAAAAAGATAATTTTTGATTACTCGTTATAATATATTTTTTTTATTATTTATACACAAATAGGTAAATGTTTTAATTAAAATTCAGTACCTAATCTAAATCCCAGACTTAATATTGCATTACATTTTTATAATATGATAACGTTATCTGTGATTAAAAAATGTCATTGAAGAAATTATCATTCAATTTTAAAGCACCTAATCTAGTGTAGGCCTTTTAATCAATAATGTATACATTATAGATATTCTTTATACATTTGTACAATGGATTGTATTATTAATGAAATCTTTGAAGGATTAATGTACAAATATATATTAATATTGGAGAGATCAATTATATTTCTAAGTTATAACCATTGTTTAAAATGTAATTAACATGTCTTACTTCACAGGAAATTTGAAGTATTTATTATTTTTTAATTATTGAACATAAACTAAAAGTAAATGTATGGTTATTATATTAAAATAATGACTGATAACAACAAGATGTTTACAGGTTCATTTACAAATACGTAGGTAGATATTTATTTATATTTTTGATACGCTGGAAATTGAAAAAATTAAAATATTTAATTCATTCTTAATAGTACAGTTTTTATTGTATATCCTACATATATGGATGTTTTTTGAGATTTTTTCAAAATCTTAACACACTTATGTGCTTACATAAAAATCAGGAGTAGTTCAGGAGTAAAATTAGGAGTAGTTCATTGTAATGGATGTGTTAAATTATTAAATTTGAACTAAAAGTCATTGAAAAATAATTCACATCAAAATTTGAAACACGAGTGCCTATAAAAAAAGTGACGAGAAATGTTTTTTCGTTAATTTTTAATTACTGTAAAAAAGACATCTTGTTTCTCACAAACAAAAAATTTAACATACAAAAGTCGAATAAAAACTTAAAAAAAGTAGAAAATTTCAAAAGTTTTACACAGGTGCAGCTCAAAAACAAGCAAAACATTAAAAAAGTTATATGATGTATAGAAAACGCTATTATATAATTATTTGGTGAAATTATTAGTTTCTATGATTATTATTTTTATATCCTGTTTATCGGTTATTTTCTTTTGTTTTTCCGATCGTTTGAAAAGTATTACAGAAAATGTTCACTTTTGACCTCTGCAAGGTACAAACCAAATCTAATTTACAATCGAAAACCTCCCGCGAAGTAAAATATCGGGTTCTATGTGTAATCATCGTGTATTCGTGTCTATAGAAACATCAAGATTATTACGCGTGTTTTAATATTTCGCGTAGCGGAGGCATTCGCCGTCTATAATCTCAGAGGTTTTCGGCGAGTCAAGCCCCGTCGTTTTTCATCACAAACACGATTATTACAGCACGCAATATTGTAATATTATTATAAAATAATATAATATCATATAATATTTGATGGATCACCCGTATGTCGTGGTCGACGGTGTTTTCGAGCGATCCTTGGATGTAGTCCTTCTCGGCCTGACTGATGAACCGGTGCGCGGACAGCGACTCGGCGCCCAGCAGCAGCCAGACGACCGTCCACGCCAGCCCGATGGCTCCGCTCAGGTAGTAGACGGACGGCCAGCCGAGCGAGCTGCCGCACAGCTCACCGGAGACGGCCAGCGTGACCATGGTGCCCAGCTGTATGCCGCTGGCGATGAACCCGACCAGCTGGCCACGCTCGTGCGGCGGCGCCCACTTGGACATGATGCCGTGCACCATTGGGAACATGAACGCCGACGACAGGCCCTGCGCGAACCGGACGGCCACCAGGGCGGGGACGCCGTACGCGTACACCAGTTGCGGGCTGACGATGGCCAGCGCCGACGAGATGGCCGTGCTGCACGCCAGCAGCGCCTTGTTGTTGAACCGGCACCCGAGCACGGACGCCGGGAAGTTGGACAGTAGGTAGCCGACGAAAAACGTGCTCAACAACACGGACCGCGTCGAGTTGGTCCACCCGAATATCGGCACGTGGTCGGCCAGCTCCCGGAAGTAGTCCGTCGAGTTGATCACCGGATTCATGGCCACGATAGTGACGGACAGGTTCACCCGGACCAGGTACCCGCTCACCACGCACAGGAACAGCAACAGGCTCTGCAGGTGCCGGCACCCTATGCCCGGCGAGCCGGCTGCCGGACGCGGTAGGTGAAACACGATAACGATACTGTTATTATATTATTATCATCATCACCACCATCATAGCCGTTAGGTTAGGTCGAAACCATAAAATTATTGCATATTCTCCTCCCCCCCCCCGTCCCCCCCCACCACCCTCCCCACTTATTATGGACCCTAACCGAGCTTTGGTTCCTGCAGTGTCCGAACTTGTTGTGGGTTAGACATACTGTAGCACACGCGCGTTGTAACTATACACACGTTCACTGACTGATTTAGGGTAAATTATCGATCAAGACTGTTAGCCATCTCGCTGCATATTGCAATTCTATTTACTTTAATTTTGATGAAAACTTCCACATACGCGTCTAATATCGTTTGAATTTTTCACACATTCGACTACCCAATTTTCCTACGCTGGAATCTCAGTTTATTAGGTGGGTAGTTAAATTATTTATTTGTTTACTTATTATACTTACGACGTGAGTGGTGGATATTCCTATTTTTTTTTTTTATTGTCATAAAGTATTCGTGTAATATTTTATTCATTGATTTATTATTGAATTATTTGTTGAACATCTGTTAACATGTTTGTTTGATTTTTGCTATCATACATGTCATTAAACTATAAATAATAATAAAAATTGCTTGGAGTGCATTTACTATTTGTAACTGTCATATATTTATTTGTTTTGTGTAACACACTGCCGATAATATTTATTTTGACCTTAGAATGTAAGACAGTTGTCCTATATTTCAGAATTTAAAAAACATGACTCAAATCCGAAATCTCACTTTATATTGGGTAATTTAATCTTTAATTAATTTATTATACCTGTTACCTTTTTATTACAATGTCTATTGTTATTATTATTATTATTTTTTTTTATGATTATTAAATCATTTACACAACTAAGTATATCTTTTAATGCGTCTTACATTAATTTAACGATTTAATTGAAATATTATTGCTGTATGAATATTTAATAATGTAAGTACTCTAAATCAGTTAGGAGTTGTAATAAAGACTTAATCATTCATCGGTGTTGGGATTTTTAAAGAAATTTCCTCTCCCCTTCCACCACCACCAATCAAAACGATTAAAAGATTAATTCACTTGTCAAAAAAAAAAAAAAAAAAATTACTTAACTATTCTTAGCACAAAATATAAATAAATAGATAATACTATATACTAAATGAATTTTTTGTCGAACAGCACTATAGTTATTTAAAAATCTATTTAGGTTTTGAAAAATAATTTTTATATAAATTCTAGTCGAAATAAAACTAGTTTATAAGCTAAAAGTATTTAAAGTTGAGGTAGTTGTTTTAAAAAATATTAATAGATTTCGAAATAATGAGTGTGATTTGATAAAAGAATCACTTTATATATATATATATAATAGATGGAGTAAACTTAAAAAAAAACCCACTTCAATAACCGTGGCTTTTAATATATTTTCGATCTGAGTGCATTTTATGATTGTTTTGGAATTTATATTATAACTTTGAGTATGTATTTTAGTGAAAAGCAAATTCATTCAATAATTGAAAAATATAAACTAAATTTTGTGTTTTTTCAAACCAGTGTTAGATATATATTTAATTATTACGAAATACCTTGTTCTATAATAATTAGAGTAAAAACATGTTTATTTACTACAGAGTACCTTTATTTATTATACCTATTGTATTAGATGAATATTTTCATTCAATTAAATCAAAAATACAACCTTAAATTTCATAAGTTTTTTGAATAAATAAATTTTGATTAAAACATTTTATCGAGCTTTAGTCATTATATATATATATATATATATATTGTGTTTAAGACAACTTATAATAATTATATGTGTATTATAAATATTCCCCATGAACTAATATAAATTATAACTAATGATTTTTAAAACGAGAAATTTAATTTTTCGATATGATATTTATTAAGCTGCAATAATGTACCTACTGTAAGTAGCCTACATATAATTATAATAATGTGGTTTACTAACCTTTTTGAATAGAATTCATTTCTTGAGAATAAACCTGTTTTGTCTAGTTATTTCAAATCAAGATTCGTCAGTTTTATTGTTTTTAAAAATAAACCATAATTATTTAAAAAAAAAAAAATACGTATATATAATCTATTAAAATTAACTGTATAATTTTAAATTTGCATAATATTAAAAATTAAATTAAAATAATTCTGTAATTGATTTTTAGATGATAAATTAGCGTAATTTAATTATATAATTTTGGTTTTATACATCATTAGTTAAAATGTAGGTACTCCTCAATACACATGCGATAAATAAATAACATATTAAAGACTGAGTACTTTTATAATAACACAGTAGTTTAAATAACATAAAAAATTATAGCACTTAAAAATATAATAATAGTGGGGATTTGGTTAATAACAATTAATATTTAAAAAAAAACTATAACTTAATAATAAGAGGTTTGTATATAGACATATTATGTACCTACAAAATATTGTAGAAACACTTGAGCGTGAACAATGATTTAAATTTTAACATAATAAGCAATGTATTTATTACAAAAATTATCGTTAAATATATTTAGTGTATAAAAAAAATATTATGGTATTTTAAACATGTAATAACACTTAAATTCACTAACCTTGTATCTTTTAGAAATTATTTTTGGTAATTCATTTTAAATGCACTGTCGTTTAATTGGCAAATTATAAGTTGTAAAGAATAAGTATTAAAACAATATTTATTGTTGTATGTTAAAATAAGTAATTACAATAAATCGTTATTAATAGTTTAAATTATTTATAATTTTTAATATAACATTTTGAATCGGATAATTAATGGTAACAGGTAAGTATTAATGCTTTTTATGATTTTTTACATCTAGGTATATTACAATATTATTAATGTAACTTGTTCTAAATCAGAACTCAGAAGATAAGATTGTGGGATATTTGTTATATAATATAATAGTGCAGGGATTAATCCATTTAATTTTGTTACAATTATTATATGAAACATATATTCATGTGATCTGTTATAAATTAAATAGATAATGATTATCGTATAATAGTCATAGAACGATATTATATAATATTAATTTTAAAATTATTCATAGTTTGTATGTTGTATCTGGAAATTGAAATAATCAATAAAATGGAAATTTCATGCTTAAAAGGTATAAATTAAAGCTTAAAAAGTGAGTGTTAGTTGACAGTTAATATTTATATTTATAAGTAAGTTCTGAAGCAACGGAAGAGGTTAGGGTAGAAAATTATGTAGGTACATATTATGAAATGCTACTATTTGAGACAACTATAATCTTATCTTCGCAGGTCATTTCTTTCCTTGAATAGTCAATCGAGGAGATACACGTAACTGTATTTTAAAATAACTACCTGTAACTACTTAATACATGCCACTCGTTGATTGTACGAATCATTGATACAATGATACTCACGTCTACCTATATTGACAGCAGAAATCCTCAACATCTTCAACCATTCAACACTGCTAACACTTTAGAAGTGTACAATCGACAATGAATTACCAGAAACCCTTCAATTAACCAACTTAATTATATAAATATAACCGAAGATCATCAATCACTTAACCCATAAATAAAAAGTATTCAATACTTATAAATTATAATGATAGTCAAATTTTCAAATTCTTTGAAGAAATTTAATCAATGATAAGTCCTCTCTTATCTCTTCTCACAAATATTCTTTTAAATCTTTTAAGCAACAAAAATGTCATTTAATAATAATACGTCTGACCTGAACCTCTCAATAGACTGAATACACACACATGCCATGAAATTCCATCGATGTATGGATTCTTCAAATAAGTCGAATATCCACCAACTCAACCAAATCACTTTCGCTTATTAAAAAAATTTAACAATTACAGATTGTAAAATACATTTATGAACAAAAAAAAAAATTGTAGTGTAACATTAAGTAGTAGTTATAAAATATGCAAACTACCAGACAAATTAAATATACCGTCAATAATGTAATTTAGGTAATAACATCAATGTTTATTCAATATCATTAATTCATAGAAAACGATTTAATTAATGCTGAAGGATTAACGCACGATATAAAAAAAAGTAATTAAAAAATTAATTTATAATTTTGACTTAAAAATCATATTAATATCACTTACTTGTAGGCAATGTTAATAGGTAATTTTGATTAAAAAAAATATTTAAATTGTGTTAGAAATTTAAAATAACGCATTGATGCTGCATAGTTCAGAGAAAATTTAATCGACATAATTATATTATAATACTTACACAAAATTTTACCTATAGGTTTATACTATGTTATTCAATGTACTAGTACCCGTCTATGTGTACAAATATTATAAGTTATAATTTGTAACAAATACATTATCTGTTGTCACAATTTATGCCGTTCATCCACTAATCCACTGATCATTAAACAGATATATTCGACGATTTCGGTGGCTATATTTTACTGAAAAATAGACAATTGTAGACATAAACATATAACAGAATTTGAAAATATATTATAGTTAGTTCTGATTAAATAAATCGATTTTACAACACAAATTCGATTCTAATTTTACAATTCAATTTAATGAAATTGTTTATTAATTGTGGCTGAAAAATACCGGAATAATTATCAATCACTAATAACTATAATATTTAATAAATAAATACGTTATTATAATTTAAATCTAAAGTCTAAACCATAGAAATAGCATTATTTTATTGTGTATATTAAATTGAATGATTAGTTCGTGAAAATACTAATATACAGGTACTTAGTAAGTTAGGTTGGTACATTAAAAATTAAAAACAAGTAGGTATGTATGTAATTTATAATTATTGTAGATATTCGCAATTATGTATTTTATGCTATTACATAATATGTGAAATATTGGGGAAATTAATTGATAATAAAGGTATATTAAATGAAATGGATAATCTATTTTAATTGATACATTTGTTGATTAAATCAATTTCAAAATTTGAATGTATAATATGTTATAGTGACATATAGTTAAATTTATAAAAAATACGTTTCACTTCAATAATCCTTTCAATAAAAATAACTGTACGAATTTAATAACGATAATAAAACTTGTTTGTTTTTCCCTTGGAATACTGAAATAAAAAAGTGGAGGTAACTTAACCACTGGATTTAATATGCATTATAGTTTGTATCATCATATGCATGTATAAATCTGAATTGTATTATTGTTTTTATTATGTAGTAGCCGGTATTGGTATCATCAATATAAGTATACAAGTGAACTCAATCTGTTTGATTATATAAATGCCTGTAAGTATTACGTAAAATATAGTTAGGTAATCTTAAAAACGCCAAGTTACACTTTGGGGGTTTTATGAAAAAATCCTGCTGTGTATAATAAAATCTATTGTAAACTACAAGCGTTTTCATTGAGTATTACCTTAGTTTTGTTTAGTAGGTATTAAGACTATATTTTCGTTGGGGCCGGGTACATGCATATGATACAGTCAAACTTAAAGACTTATAGCTAATAAAAATATATGCATATAATATACTTCGATTTAACCATTAGCCCCTTCAAAATATATTAAAAACGTAGGAGTATACACATTGCATAATATTATATTATTTTGCTTATAGTAGGTGCTTACATAATTATTTATATTGTATTTCTTTATATATTTATGTGCTTGATCTAGGATACTTAAGTAAGGTATTTAATGTTCAGGAATGAGTCAAATTTATATGACGACTAAAAATATATAGTGATTTAAATACGATCGTGTATAAGTAATGCTTTATTTTAAATAATATGAGTACCATTTTTTTATTTACAAGCCTTTAATTATATAATATAGACTATATTATAAATATTACAATATTTAGTTGTATAGTTACGGGACCGTTGACGTGTGCCATGATGCCCGAGTTTTTTGTTGACCTACTTATTTATATTATATGGGTAGATTCAGTAAAATAACTTAAAACATTGAAATGTATTTATAATTTATACAGCTCACCTTAATAATACATAGCACTTAATCACGCAATCTGTTTTTAACGCTGGAGAACTTATATTATGTAAATGATAAAACACAGAGTAGCAGAGAATATACTACAAGAATCACGAGCCGACTAAAAAAAATAAAAATATTAAATAATAATAAAACCATGTAATTCAAATGTTCGAACATAGTTATATTAAATATAGTAAGGTAAAGCTTAAATTAATACAACACATTTTAAAACCTTTTTAATTATAAAAGTAAAATAGTGTGGACGTTTTTAATTATTTCTTTTCTGAAACATCACCTGTTTACAGGTTATAAATTTATATAACACTCAAATTCTATAAAAATGTATGCTATTATTAGTTTACTTGAAAATCGTCAATCCACCAATAACTTCTACTTTCTAGAATGTTTTCAATTAAGGAAGTAATTAGTGATTACTATACTTCGCGTGCTCAAAGACCTACAAAACAAATGTCGACTCACGCCACGACATTTTATAAATCAATACAAATGAGTTTTTTAGTGTGAATTTAATACAAACCATTTACTGTGTATTAAAAATAAATTTTACTCTAGAAAGGTAACAGTTTTAATTTTATTGCTATAATTTGTGTTATTTTATTAAAAATTAATAATTATTGTTTTAGTAAACGTATAAAACTTAAAAATATTTTTTTCTGATTGATAAGTAATTAAAATATAGTTAAATATTATATTATTATACATATAAACTAAAAACATGACATTTGAAGTTCAAACATTTATGTAGTTGTATTCTTTATATGCGATATGCCTAGATGTATATACAATATACATACATGTGTATGCATGTAGTAATTTAGATTATGTATAAGCAATATATTGTATAGGTAATATTAATTTTCTTATTATTAAATAAATCGAAAATTTTAACTACGATAAGAACCACTTAGACGCTTATTGGTTAAAAAAATTAATAAGACATTCTATGAGAGTTTTCAAAATCCTCAGGTTTTTGTTTATAGAAAAACATTTGACTAATGCTTAGTTTTTATGTTATATTTCAGTCATTTTTAAAAACTTAAGTTACTACTAAAGGTAATTATATGTTTTAGCTTATATAATTATTTTCATTATTCAATAATTTGACTAAACCAAAGGTTTTAAGATTTTTATTTCATATTTTTGTCATGAACTTTCCTCTATTTAATTGCCAATATCTCAATAGACTACAATACACAAATGATTAATTTTTACTATTCCTCTAAAAATAAAAAAAGTTTATTTAATAGTTAAATACAATTCATGACGAATTTATATTATTTAATTTAAATTTAAGTTTGATGACTAAAATATTTTAAACATTTTAAAATTATATTTAAAATTTATTTGTATATACAAAGTGCCCAACTGTGTTTATCCTTGTCAATAATAATTTATATTATTTTTAAATGTTTGCGTATTGGAACGGGTCTATAGGTAAATGTATGAGTTATATATTGTTTAATTTTTCGTGATATTTAAAATTAGAGTAAGCTCGATTTAAAAACAATTGTGTTACCTTATTAGTTATTTCCTATTTTGTATTATCGCAGTCAAGAATATATAATTCAAGCATTAATTAGTCATTGACTTAGATGGAACCGAGTCAGTGATTTAAAAAAGTTTAATACATAATATTATATATTACTCAAATTAGTATAGTTACGATATCAAGTCAATCTAAATATTTTTCTATCAAGTATAAATACATAATATCATACACAAATAAATGACAATAATGATAATACAATGACAATATAGTGTAATACGCGTTTTAGTGATTTTATTAATTTAGCATCTGCCCTCCTTATTTTTACTGAACAGTATGATACACCAATGTGCAGTGTAGGTACACATAAAAGGTAGGTATATATATATTATAGAGGTATACTTTAAAATACCCCATTGCGTGCATTTATATCAAGCACGCACAGTTAGCGAGACGAAAAGTAAAAAAAATAATACTCGTAGGGTAAAAAACCTTAAAGTATATACACTATTATACAGGGTGATTTATACCAATAATGATCATCCCCTTTTATTTTTTAGTAATGAATTTATTTAAATTCTGATTTTTGGAATTTTTAAGTTTACCTAAAGATTATATTTTCAAATACATACTCGTACATTTTTTTGTATATATAAATTAAGGAGTGTCTTGCAGGAACAATATCTATTTCTTTTTTTTTCACATGACTCTTACACTTCTCCTCTGTAAATTGTTAATCAGATTTCTTTTTAAAAATGTTGAAATATCTACCTATATCTAAATCAAAATTCAAGTGAATAGTTAAAGTGTTGTTCAATTTTGCATACCTACTAAGAATAGGTTAGATTTATGATAAATTGGCTTAGAAAATATATGGAGGCTATATGATTATTAGTAAATTTTAATACCTTATTCTATTAATAAAATTAATCTATCAAAATTATATAACGAATAAAAATTGTCTGAATATAATAAATACTAGATACAATATTACATCTATCTTATATTTTTATATAATCATCATTGCTACAATTTGTCCTTATTCCTTAGTACATACATTTTAATAACTCAAAAACTATTGGCATGAACCATTTTTCTAAATATTATTTGTTTAACAATTTACAGTAAAAATATTGGTTTTAATTTGAAAAAAGAAGTGTTTACTATCGCAGAAAAATACAGAACACTTTTTAAATGGTATAAAAAAATTTTAATAGTTGAAAATATGATTCTTATTTTTTATTAGTATACTTAAAACTTAAAAAAAAAAAAATCATAATTTCAATGAATTTATTATTAAAGAAATAAATGGGAGTGAACATGCTCGGAGAATCATCCTGTATTCATGTAAATCCTCCTATATTTCAGCTTTTTGACGAATCGCAGCGGATTGTATGCGTATTATTATTATTTTTTGTATCTGTGTACCGTATACATAATATTATATACGATACTCAAATACACAGTAATTCATCAATCATTCTCACACCTATTTTATTTTTTCATATGAATTTATTCAATTATGATACTTGGAATTTTTAAGCATCAATAAAATACTTTAAGACCATATTCTAAAATACCTATATGTTTTATTTGAGAAGTGTTCTGTAGCATTACAAATTAATTTTTCCTAATGAAAACATTCGTTTTTTACTTAAAATTGTTGAGTTGATGATATTTTATCTAAAATCTAAACTGAAATAAAAACGAATGGTTTCTAAGGTATAATATACCTATATTTAATAGTCTTTAATGTGGTATGTATAATTTGAACATTATAGACAATTATATTTATTTAATAATTTACAGTAAAAATTAAAGGTTCTCATTTAAAAAGAAATAAACGTATTACTACAAATCACTTATTAAATAGGAAAAACAATTTATGTGTTAAAAAATATTGTCTTATACTTTTACTATATATTATGTTGAAAATTCCAAAAATCAAAATTTGATTAAATGCTTAATTAAAAAAATGCACTATGAGGTTGATCGTGTTTGATGAATCACTCCGTATAAAATTATTATACTTTTCAAAGCTAACTGCCTTTACTTACACATTGCATGTGTACTCCTATAGGTATAATGGGTATATATATATAGTTCAGAGTGCGCTTGAAACACGAAGAACGGTGTGTGTAGCTGTTAGTGCACGCGTTCACGTCGTTCAACGTAGTCGCTTATTATTAGTGTTGTTTCGGTTGTTGTTATTATTATTATTATTATTATTTTGACATGACGAGTAACAGCATCGAGTTGTCGAAAAGCGGTGGCGGTAGCAGTAAACATGTACGGTCGCATAGCCTAAAAAGCTTTCCAGCAGTGGCCGCTACGGTTATTGATAGTAGAAAACAGCCGGACAATGGCGCCGTGGTGGCTGCTGGTAGCGACCCACAGACGACTGTGAAAATGACATCAACATGGAAACAGGTGTTTAATTTCGATTTTCCAATAGTATGATATTATACATAATAAATTAATAGAATAATAAATCACGGTTTTATAAATAGTTTTATCTAATTTAAAAGAAATAATTTTTTTTTTTTTTTATGGCTTTAAAATTTAAATTGCAAATAATTATTGTTATTTGTAAGATAGTGTATCACACCACCAGATATATCATTGAATATATTATGTCCAGTAGATGTCAATTTACTTTAAAAATGCTTAAATTCCTAGCATGTAGGTGTTACTATGATAGAGGTACGAGTATTAAACATTTTTTCGAAAGAATACGGCTCATGAAGTTGTGTAATTTTTTTTAAAAGTAAAAAATAATTTATACAAACAAAGTTAATTTAATTATTATATATTGTAAAATTATATTTATTGTTCGTCGTATTTATACTAACAATAAATTACATAATTATTTTTTATATTTAATACATATTAATATTATTATGACAAAGAAAATAAAATAAAATAAAGTAAAGGTAGGAATTGCTGTAAAGTGCATCGCCATCAATTAGGTCACTGTAACGAATGTATATTTAATAACAATTTCAAATTAATTTGAATTCAATGATAAATCATTAGATACGATTGAAAATCTATTCTGAGTAGAGACCATCGGTCATTCTATATTTATGTCGTTCGTGCCTTTAAAAATATTTAACATATTAAATGATTGTATAAGTTTAGTATACTCAATGTGGGTATGTATAATATAAGTAATAATCTTCACTACATCATAGTTGCATTAATGACATAGCGAGGATAGAACATAGGTATTTGAATTGAGGGTCATTAATATAAATAGTTAAATGAATCAGATTAACCATGTCTGGAATCGTTAAAAACTTATTAACATTAAGATACGATTTAACAGAAACAAACAATATTATTTTATTTATATAATTTCATTATTTATAAACTTTTTAAAAATATGGGTTAATATAAACAAATTAAATAAATTAAAACTTACAATATTATCTATCATAATAATATAGGTAGGTAATACTAGCATAGTATGCAACTGAAAGCTGAAATAAAATTATAAAATTTATTTACATATATGTTATTGAAATATAACGTATTAATCGAAAAATAATTCACTCAAATGTGTCTTTTGCAATCAATATTTATAAATAATATCTGAAAATAATATGTTTGTAAATTGTATTTTCTTTTATCTTTTCAGTACTCTTTTAATTCAATAACTCATCAATTCATAACTTACAATAAGCTTTAACCTAATTTATGAATTCTGCACCTTCCTATATTTACTTAATTATATGTTATCTATACTTAAATTAGTTTAGATGGATAAATAATTCATAAAACAGTAGAAAATCATATTAAGTGTAACATTTAGGTATATTTTTTTAATTACTTATTTAGTTAAATTAAAATAAATTTTAATCTAGTTTAATTGTTTTTACACAATTTTTATTCAGAATTGATTTTATTTATTTTATCCATAGTAAATCAAAACAAATGTTAAATGTTAAGGCATGTGATCGAACTAGAGATCGAACTAAACAACTGTTACGAAGAACAATGTCGTGGAAAAGTAATACTATCATAATGCAGCCCGAAGAACGCAAGCCAGACGAGTTATCCAGTACACTAGAAATACATGTATGGGGTATGTTATATAATAAATATTTTTTTATGAAATACCTTCGAATTTATTTTTAAAGTTATGGTCTATTATTAAAATGCTTGAATTCTTTGACAGACGTATAAAACTGATACTTAATTCGTAAATAACTTACTAACTTATAAGTATATATAATACAACTGTCGAGTTATTATCTTTAATAATATAACATTAAAGAAGTATAGGAAAATTGTTGATAATATTACATCGAAAATCAGTATTGATTATTGAGTTTTTATGCACATACAAGCGTATTATTTTACGTTCTGTATAATTTATTATTTATTTATACTATTGTTTTATTTAAGTCTTGAATAACTAGATGTCCAGATATCATAGAAAATATATTAAGTTATTTTAGCTTAAGTATTCATATGTATATTCGTAATTTAAAAGAAGCATCAAAAAATTAAATAAACATGCTGATATTTTTAAGTTATAAAAATAAAAAATTACACTAAAAAATTAACGTTATCAAATGGATTCTGTAATATTAAATTATAACGAGTACACACACACACATAATCAACATTTGGAAAGGTGGTTACAACCCTAAAAAAAATATATATATATATAATATTGACATATACTTTGACATTATTATTTTTGGTATTAAACAAACTTTCTATAGTTGTGTCAACGAGTACTCACTACAAGTATTTTTCAAGTCATAAAAATAAAAGTATTACCATTGATTATAGATACTAGTATTGTATTAATAACTAAGTAGAGTATAATATAAGTAACGAAATAATAGTATCTAGATTCAATGATATTACCTTTTATTTGCGTATAGCTTCTTGGATGAAACGTTATTCTAGCGAAGATGAATCAAAAACATTGGATATTCCATTTAAATTATCGCCATTACAAGAGGAAAAGTTATTGATTTTTTTTAAATATTATTTGGACGGCGATTGCGACGGATTCGTATTTGAACACGACTTCCATCAGTTTGTAGAGGTATTTGATTGTATACGAGTATATATTATATATGTGTATATATTAATGTATTAGTAAATTAATAAAAAGTTAACTATTTACCGTGTAGTTCAAGCTATGAACATTAATAATAATAATTATCTATTTTCAATTTATTTTTGGTAGATTAAAAATAATATTTATTTCTGTTCAAATATTTCCTTTAGCTACCTTGTAATTTAGTCAATATTTTTAATAATATTATAATTTTTTTGAATAATACTAAAATATTATTATTATTATTATTGTTTTTTGAATATTTAAAATTTTAATTTTGAATTAATTTTCACGACTTTTCATGTTAAGTTAATAATTATAATTTACTTATAATATAATTATTTATAAAATATAGAAATTAAGACGTTTTGCTGATTGGTCACCGAATAGTGATGAATATATAATATTAAAACAAGTTTTAACAGAATTAATTCAAGTATTCATTCAATGTGAACGAGGTCAAAGTAAGCATGAAACCAAAATTATCTTTATTTATTTATTCACATTACTATAACAGTAAGATATAAAAATTTAAAAAAAAACAGTGTCTACAAAAATATCGATTATAATATGTATCTCATTCTTATAAATAGTTAGTATATCAATAAATATATATATAGTGATAATAAAAGTGAATATTTTTACAATTCTTCAATTTTCAATTTTTTATAAATATTGAATGATAAACAGCTTAAATACAAAAACATAGTGTTGCTTTTATGAAAAAAGGCATTTAGGTAGTCATTTAGTTATAATATGTAACTAGAACTCTGGAACTATAGATCATTAATATTATAATATTGTATAGTAGGTACTAGGTAGGTATATAATATCAAATGAGATTGTGTATAATAAAAGTTCTCATTGTTTGAAAAATTTATAAGGACTGGGTAGGTCCTTGGGTCATGTAGAAATACATTAAACAGAATGGTAATATGGATCCCCCGAGAAACATTGTAAGTATATACTATGCATTATATTTTAAATAGGTATTAACCATATTTGGGTCAGATAGTATTAAATATAATATTAACGTTAATTTTATAATTTATTAGTTTTAAATTCAGTGTAAAAATTGTTTACATAACTTAATAAAATTGATGATATTTACTCTAGTAGATTGAACATTTGAAAATAAAAGTTTTTAAAAATATTATTAGCTTTTTTTAAATTATAAATTATATAATTATGTTAAGCATGAAGTACCTTAGTACCTATAGTCTATATCTATTATTTATTATATATCTAATCGCTTTTTATAATTTATTCTTAGATATTGCATTTACTAGTCTATCAACTGACGATTGGCTTAAAATATGGTGTCAAACGTTAAGCAAGTGTACTGTAATTTCAGACATGCCATTGTGGCTGAAATATTTGCAGAACATATTATTTAAGTCTTTAGATTCAGGTTATTATGACCATTTTAATATTCTTAATATTTAAAATGATAATAATAATAATAAGAATAATAATAATAATTAAATATTATTATACATTTACACATAATATGAATTCAATTTAAACAGGTAAAGGTGAAATAGAAAAAGTGAATTTACAAAGGTTTTATTGTACGTTTCTCAATTCAAACTGTGAGGAAGCTAAGCAAGGCGTGATTGATGCGATATACGATTCATTAACATCAGTGAGTTGTTCACGTCACTGAATATTTATGAATCATGTGATGATATTAAAAATACGTTCTGCGTTTATAATAATTTTCCTTATTTTATGTTATGTGTTAAACACCCCTTTTATTAAAAAAAAAAAAAATACTAAAGTAAAACATAATTTTTATTGGTTTAAATAGTTTTATAAAAAAATGAACAACTTAAATTATAATTAAATTAAACAATTTTATCCAATTCTTTATTTGTATCGGTACCTATAGGCTATACTGCTATAGCATATAGTCAATAGCTATCTAGATTTATAGTTATGCAGATGCAGAGATGTATTATAATTTTAGCTTGAGAATAAATACACAAAATATTACTACGTACAAATGGTACATAGGTATTTAAATGACTTGAGAAATAAGTCTTGTACATAGAAAAAAGTATAAAATATTGACAAATCAAATTTAACTTATTTCAGTTTTAAAAAAGTTTGACAATTTTTAAGTGTACTAAACTTTTTCACTGTAGGGCTACAGAAGAAATGTCAAGAGGCACTAAATAAGTTTTATTTTCTCTACACTTATCAGTGTTGTCACTTCATATAGAAAAGTGTATTTATAGATGGTGATCACTTTTTAATTTTATATAATTTCTATGGAATCGGAAAATGTAGGATTTATAATTACTTGTTTATACCATTTTTCCAATTTGTTTACGATTTTTTATTTAGCATGGTGAATGTTTAGGTTTTTTTTACATGGTAACCTTGTTTCTTATTTTTTATCCTGAAGAAGAATATTATTCTGAAAAATTTTTTAATTTTAGATATAAAAAGTACAAATGTCTAGTATTAAGCAAGTACGAACTGACAATATTATTCTTATTAGCGTTTAAAGTTTAGTTAAGTTGGGGTACCTAGAAAAATATTGGTGCACGCTATTCCACCCATTCAAATTTAATAAAATACTCACAAATAACTAACTTTTATCATTTGTCTTATTTTACTCAACAAAAATATATTTTATAACTATCACGTTCATTAGACATTGGGTAAGTAATTTTTATTTAAACCTAATTATTATTATTTTATTTATTTTTGCCTTTAGAATGGAGACTTTAAGTTGGACCGCGATACTTGGGGCCAATGTTTCGCAAACTGGTTACTGGGTACTAAACCCAATGGATGCGGTCAATGGTTATTTGGAAAGTGTGGCCCAACGCCTGAATTTTTCCCTATCGATTATTCTGCTATGAATTCGACGGTCGATTCGAGAGATACATATTCACATAAGAGGCGGAGCGATAGACATTCCATTGTGGTCTAAAGAAAACAGTAATAATCAATAAATAGAAACTCATTATTGTTGCCATGTGGACTATGTGCTAAACAATCCATTAACGCATATTTTGTACAAAGAAAATACAAACATCTTGCAGTTTTAAAATTTTTAAATGATTACGTTATTTAACTTCCTCTTTAGTTCCTAAATAGATAAAATTGAAAAACATTTTAACTGCAAATATTGTAGATACCTATGATAAGGAGAGACGAGAAATTAAGAATTCTAATATCCTGTCTGAATCCCTCTATCGGCGCAAAAACAAATCATTAATAGTTAACACTAATTATTCATAAGAGTATTTTTGCTGCAAATTTCTACTCAATTATATTAATTAAGACTTAATTTAAAGTGTAGATAATCATCAATCTTATAAGTTATAATTATGATTGTAATTTAAATCAAATAGCTACAGTCACTCCATCTCGCCGAGGATTATTTGAATAAAATAAAATTGAAAAACTTAAACATATTACAATATTTGTTATTTATAGCTAAGAACACAAATTCGTGTTTAGGAGTCATACATATTATTTATCGAACATATTTTATACATTATATAGTAAAGGCATGCAATGATGCAAATAGCAATACACTAATTTCATTAGAAGTCATACTAAAAGATTCTTTGTGTTTGAGGATGTCGATGTGTCATAAGTTCATAAGTCTTGGTTGGTTAGGTACATGTTCGAAAAATACATAACTATTAAAAATTTATTTAATTCTTAAGAATATTATGTATAAGTAAATTATAACATTAAAAAAACATTTTATGTTCATTGATCGTTTTAAAAAATATTACCGTAGTATCTATGTACTCTCTATGTATTGTCACTTAATATGAGATAAGTACTAGGTAATTATGTAAATTTGAAAGTATGCAACATTAATTATGGAAATAGACACTAAAAAGCACTACTTAAATAAAAAATAAGAGAAAAATTAAACAGTTAAAAAACGAAAATTATTATCTACAAAATACAATAATTGAATAATATCATGGACTTGTTAGATGGTCAATACTCAGAAGTAACTAACTACTGAATGGAAACTGTTAAGCATTTTTACAGATCCTACATCTTTTAATAATTTGATTTTTAGGTACTATAAATCTTATAAAGTTATAACTAATAATAAATGTGCCTATTATTGGAAGTTATAACTGGATTTTTTTTATTTGTTTTTGGAGTTAATGCAGAATATCTAAAATACAGATTCTAGCTAGTTTGTATAGACTTTTTTTTTATTGTTTTTATAAATCAAATCTTATAAAATACTCAACCAATTATGTGTGAATAATATATATTATGTACACACATATATTTTCATGCAATATTATAAATATTTTAATTACTTAATAGAAATAATAAGTTATAGTTTATAAATTAGTTTTTTGCTTCTTTAGTAACAATTTCATATAATTTTCATTTAAAATAACCACCTTATGAAAATAAAATAACTTATTTTAATCATATAATGTAAGTTATGATTAATTGTAGAAAATATTTATGTACATATTGTCACAACTTTTGCAATTATTAAATAAATGTATTAAATATAATACATAATAACAATCCTACAAAAAGTAAAATAAATTTAATCAACTGTAATTCTTAATTATAATTTATAAGTAATTTAAAAAAGTTATTCAAAACAACTAAATAAATAATATGTCTATTAAATTATAAAAATATTAATATTGTGTGAAGTTATCAGGAAAAAATTTGTACATTTAAAAAATAATAATTAACATAAATAATATTTATAATAAAAACAATTTTAATCATTTTAAATACGCAATGATGATAATCAAAATTTTTAGTCATAGTATAAAAAAATATCATCACATTAGGGTATTAACTAACATATTAAAATTAAAACAAGTTTTGACATTTCACCTTTTGCATTTTACAAAACTGAAACATGTTTACGTTTTGCTAGTTTTATTTGTATTTTCAAATCAAGTATGGCCTCTCGTTCTTCTTCTATACTTTTTAATAAGTTCATTTTCTGGAACTTATAATTAGGCAAATTAGTAAATTATTTATTAAGACTTAAAGTTATCCTTACTTGCAGCATTTTATATTCACTTAACAATGCATTGTTAGCAACTGTTGTTTCATCAATTGGATACATGAAATATTCTCTGTATACAAATCATTAAATAAATATATAAAAATATTAGTTTAATATATTAGTATATTTAATTGAATATTACACATATTTAAGTATTCATCATTATATTGAAAATCAAATACATGTTAATTATAATTACCTAGCATTCACAATTTTTCCAACTGATGCCAACTTTGTGTACAGTTTATCAATTTCACATTTTTCTTGCACTATATAATCTTTTATATTTGCAATGAGTGACATTAATTCTTCAGATTCATACTGTAAGACTAATTCTTCATTATCACTATCTAAAAGTTAATTTTCATGGATTACAACAAAAATTGTATACATTTACAAATAAAAATATAAGCTGGATAGTAGATTTTATTAACTACCTGAAGTCGTTGTTTGTATCTCTTCATCAACTAATGAACTCTCACAGTTTGAAATATTAATAGTGTCACTTGTTATTGATACTACTTCAGCTTTGACAGATACACTGTTGTTAGAGTTTTGTCTGTCTAGAGCTGTTTGAGTTCCAACTTCTTCAAACTTCCCATTCATCTGGTCTTCTATTTTAGTCTTTTCTTTTGAAACTTTGTGGTTATCCTTTTCTAATACCTTAAGTTTTCTTTTCAATTGTGTAATAATTCTTTGTACGTCCCATAACTCTTCTTCTTTAGTTTTACATACAAAACCAGCGTTCATTTCACGGTGAATGTAACCAAGAAGTGATTCTTGTTTTTTTAATTCAATAGTCATTTCTTCTTTACCTGATGGTAAATAAGGGCTTGCACATCTTAAAGGCGGTATATATTTATGTAAAACAGCAGAAGGAAACAAGTCATTTTTTTTTGTAACAAGGAATGAAAATAACGTTTGAGACATTTGAAGAACAGGGCAGAGAACACAACCAAAATTAGTAGTATTCATCTTGGTATATTTTTCCTAATAACAAATAAATAAATCAAAATCAAATTATTAAATATTACATCATTAACTTACATTTTCTATGATACTGGCAAAATGAACTATTAACCATGTGAGTGTATGCTTATTGCATTGTGGAAGTTCTGAGATTAACAACTTTGCCGATTCACTATTTTGTGTTTCGGCAGCATCTTCAAATTTTGATAAAAGGTCCGATGTCAATATGGGGTCAGGAAGTTCTCTATGAATTTATTTAAAAAATCATATTTTTAAATAATAACATAATTAAAAACACAATACCTTAAATATTGTTTCAATAGACTTGTAACAACAGCTAAATCATAATCAGTTAAATTGACAGATTGTCGTCTATTATATTGAATTTTAAGGTTTTGTACTTTAGATTTCACACCTGGCACTTTATAAACACCATCAGTACATAAACCTAAAATTAAAAAAAAAATGATTAAAATTGCAATTTTAAATTTATAGTATGCTGGGAGCATTGTTTGAAAAACAAAATTAACTTTTTGTTTAGTATTCTTTGAACATTTTAATTAGAAAATATACAGCGTTAGTTTAAGTATAAAAATATTTTATAGATTTTTAATTTTTTGTTTTGTTTACTTATGATTTTAAGTTTAGGTATAAAAAGATTTTAAATTGATTTGTTTAAGAAGAATTTTGTATACTTAGTAGGTGTGAAAGGTACAAGGATAAATATTGTAATAATGTAGAAAATAAAATTGTAGATACTTACCATGCATTTGTACATAGTCGATACAATTTCTCAGAACTAATGGTAAGTGTATATCATCATGGCATGGATTTCGTTCAAATGATATTTCTAATGGAACTCCAAAAACGGGTTGATCTTCTATACATTAAAACAATTGATAGATATTTTTAATATTTATTTATTTTTGAAATAAATCATAATTTTGATTACCATATAAAGAACCTATGTCTATAGTGTCTTTTCCATCAGATCCTTTCTGTTTCTTTTTTTCTTTTATTTTATTTTTGGGTTTATCTTTTTTTTTATCCTTTTCTCCATCTTTTTTCTTTTCTTTAGGAATGTCTTTAGAATCTTTATCTTTAAGCTTCTCATGTTTTTCTTTTTTTGTAGGAAATTTAAATGGTTTTATTTTTTTTATTTTTGAAGGACTTCTGTAAAATATTATTTTTAATAATTTACATAGGTACTTCTTTAATTATTACATTATTATTTATTTAATGAGTTAATGTATATGTATGGAAATTAAACTTCATAATTTAATTTTTAAATTGCATTTATTGCAATTTGTAGAATGGTTGAAGATAAAGGTTTATTATATAGTAAAGAACTTGAAAAATTGAACTTTTTAATTCATTGTTAAATTATATTGTATAAAATTATAGTTGTTTGAAAAAACAAAAATTATTATATTTTAAATTTGTAAATAAATTAAAAATATATACATTATTCTACAAATCACTACTAATTATATATGTTAACATGTATTTCATGCAAATTTATTTTCAAGATTTTTAAATTTTTAAATCAGTTGTTATGGAATTGCTAGCATTGCAAAAATATAAAGATTATAATACTTTATGTGTTTCATAATTCTATTACTTTCTACCATAAGTATACAATTCCATACTTACTTTGTATCAGGCTCTTCTTCTGGAGAACTTTCACCTTCCAGCGCTGCATAACCACGGTCTTTTTTTTCTTTTCGTTTACCTGTATACATTTAAGTTATAACATTGATGCTAGGTAGGTAATAAGCTCAAATAATCTCTATATTTAATATATATAAATAGTGTCCATTACCGTCAGAATCTTTGTGTCCGATTTCTGTGGATGTATACAAGCCTGGGAAATCCTTTTCGACATCGGGGCTATCAAAATCCATAGCTCCTCTCAGACGTGATGTATCGTACTATTAAAACAAATGTATGCACTGAGTCAGGCAAATCACTACTTCTTAAAATATGGCAGATAATAGATAAGTACTTACTAAAATGTTCGAAGAGTGCAGATATCAGATACTACTATACTAAGCAGTAAGAAGTAGACGAACAGTAAAGTTGTAGATACTATAGACACCTTAGGTGTACTATATAGTAGTACAACAGAAATACAGAATATAGATGATTACGTTATCAATTGCCTACCAGCCGTATAAAATACTATTACAATGTTGTCTGATACTATTCTACGACCATAATATAATATCAGAATAATAACAACAACAATAACAACTTTACGCATTGATTATAACGCGAGTAGTGATGATAAGACGTGATGAGTCACCGTTGCCCGGATCTAATTTTATGAAGGAGTGGGGATATGATTCCGTCACGCACTTCATGCCCTACCACTTGACACCGTGCGTGTTCGGCAGCCGGCAGGTAAGAAATTTATACCATCCGTATTCGAGACCAGTCTCGTTGCAGTATCGCTCACCGTGTTGTGTATGCGTTGCATTCAGTGTCTTATCAGTTGTCGTTCGCGTCTGATCTGTCGTTCATAAAATCGACTCTTTCTCCTCCTACGACGTGCTATTAACGAAGAAATTATAAATTCGTTTGACAACGACGTTAATCGTACACGTCAAATGATCTCTACAAGTGCTGTTTAGGCTTTTATTTTTCATACCAGTGGCTGATATGCCAGTCAAAGTAAAATGGAAAACTGTTTACGCGGCAGTATTGGTGTTGGCCGTCCAACTGGCCACCGGTATGTTCGTACAAAGACACTGCAATCATTTGTACCCCAAACCAGACGAGGTAAGTACCAATAAGTATTACAGCTCATAATCATTTAGTATACTGTTTTCTTATACATGGATAATCATTAAGGTTACTAATTTAAATATTATACACTTCTTGAAGTCATATCGGTTGCAAAATTCTTTAAGTAACTTTAGAGTTTAGAATACCTTTAGACACTACGTTTGGTGTATAAGTTTTAATAATGTTCTAACTAGTTACTAGAATTTTATGAATCGATTTAGGTAAGCGAATTCCAATTAATAAAAGTAAAATACCTAGTAAGAATAATATAATCATTACTTTGAATCTTAATATTCTCGACTAAAAGATAATTTATTATCATTATGGTTATTATTTATTAATAAGGGATTAATATTTAATTTTTGGCAGAGAAATAATTCTATTTGATTCAAAAAAATAAAACCGTATTTCTTATTTAATACCACTGTAGATACTTCATACAACATTGTTTTTCAAACATATAATTTCCAAGTACGTTTTAGCTGTAGCCTGTTTCTGATAACTAGCAGTGGTGACTTATTATTTAATCGTAAAATGTTTTCCTATTATTAAAGCCTAAAATTTTTCTTAAAAGCATTATGAATAAATTGCTATGCTTTAAAATTGAAATTCATTATAATACATTTAAAATAGGTACAATCTAGGTATTATTTAATTATTATATTAATAGTTAAATTGAGTATTAAATATTTTACAATTTAATTAAATACAAAAACGTACTTACGTAGTTTAATCTATTACATACTATTATTTCTTGTATTTTCAGTTTAATGTATTAGAGGTGGTATGTTTAGATATTTTAAATTTTAATGTTTATTTTTTGTAATATAAAATAATAACAAAAATACGTCTAAAACAAAAGAGATAATAAAAATGTTATTCTAATTTTTTTATTTTTAATCAACTCGTATACTATTAGATAAAAATTAAAATTAGTTTAAAATTATAACACTCGTTATGTAATTTATTTTGAGGTAAAAACAAGCTATTTTTTTTGTTCTTTTCCTTAAATTTACTGTCCAATTATAATTAATAATCTAATATATTTATTAGCTTATTATTCAAAAAGTAAAAAAAAATATTTATTTGTAAGTATTCAATAATTAATAAAATTATTTAAGTATTCAAAAAGTAACAAAAAAAAAAAAATTATTTATTTGTAAGTATTCAGTAGTTAAGTATTTATTTACTTCCGTAAACTAGGAAGTATTTAAAAGTCTGGATAAGACTTTAATGTGTTTATTAAGTAATTAACTTTCCTTGTATTGACATTTGTATTAAATATATTTACTTGTATTAAAAGTATTTTAATTAAAATGCAAGACATTTTTTTTAATTAGAATGCAGTTTTTTGTTATTGTCATTTTTGTGGTCACCCATGGCGTTCTTAAGAAATTTCACACAAGGTTAACTAGTTACTAATGATGTAATTATTTAGTATTACTAAATAAAAAAAATTCAGGTCAAATTTCTGTTCAATAATATTTTATCGAATATCAAATATGGTTAAAAATCATACGATAATCGTCAGATTCTTTTTTGAGAATATAAAGAAACATAAGATGAGTCTATTCTTAAGGAATAATTTTAAAAAATTATACCTATTATTATAAACACTATAAGGTATAGTAAAGGTATGGTTTTTAATTTTTATTAATGTTTACCTAAAGTGTAAATAATTTGAATTATTTACAATCAATAAAATGTAAATTACTTAAATTATAATTTACATTTTATAATCAATAGGTATTATATATTTATTTTTCAAGTAATTGAATCTTAAGTCAGTAATTGTTGCGGAAGTAATACATTTTATGTTACAGCTACCAGCAATGATTCCATTTGAGTTCTTTAATAAGGGTTCCAAGAATTTAATTAGGCCATTTTCTTTTTACCACTTATTTAATTTTAATAAATGTATGTATTTTTTATGTGTAAGGTGCATATTTCTAATTAATGGTGCAGATGTTAATTTAATAATTCAATGACTTATATGCTGCGATATAAAATTATTTACGATCCGTTGACGAATAAAAATATATAAAATATAAATTTTTGCGTATCTACATTTTGATGTTATTGTATTGATTATATTTTATACGTATCTCGTATAGTTTTATAAATTATTTAAATATTTATTTTTTTATTTAAAAGTTCTGCATTGTTTCAACATATTTAATGTTTTTACAGAATTCTAAATTTATAGCAGATAGGTAGTAAGAAACTTAAATAAACATAGAAGTGGTTAGAAGCTTAAAAGTGGTTTTAGTGTATAGGTTTAGACATGTTATCGACAATTTTATAATGTAGAGTTCCTTTAGTTTTATTTAGGTTATATTGATGAAGTTTTTGTATTTGTCTATAATTATCAACGTTTATAAGTAGGGCTTGTGTCATTGTGTAATTATTTGTTTCGTACGGACCAAGAGACTTTAAGCTATTTTTATGAATTCTTTTTGCAGAATTCGCAACTTTAATTTTTGTTGGAGAAGTGATAGGTCATACTGAGTACTTCAATTGTTTTTACCTAGGTACGAAAACATTTATTTATAAATTTAAGGCAATGAATATTGTAATTTTTCAAATGTAATGCGCAATGCTAATTAGAGTCAATCCTTCAAAAAGCAATATTAAATGAATACATTGTATTATAATACAGGATACAAATTTTTTAATTTCATATCGTGTTTGCTGTGCAAGCTAACTCCCCAATTTTATTTTAAAAAATGTTTAGGTATCACGCGTATTTTGTCTAATTAGTACTATTTTTACAAATTAAATACTAATACATCAAATGGTAAATGAGTATATCCACATACTACCTCTGTAAATGATAAAATATTAGGTTAGATTAGATAATTTACAATAAGTTATTCGAGATATTGAAATTATTTGTTAATCCACTAAAATGAATTTGTACTAAAGTCCATATATGTTTATAAATATCATCTATACAATTTTAACTTTACTTATACGATGCTTACACAAATTATGTCTTATCCTAACCGATTCCCTGATTTACGCATAACTTTATTTTGCCAAAATGAAAAAGGTATAATTCCCGTTTCCGCCAATTATTATTTGGGAACCATGCACAATTGTATCTTTTGTTTCAAGTATTACATTTTGTTTTTCCAAAATATTGGCTGTACAATTTTTCATGAAACAACCCTACCGAGTTATATATTTGTTTTTGACATGTAGCCAAAAACGTATTTAAAATCATCAAAAATCAACATTTTTTTACATCTTTTGTTTACAACAAATCCTGTTTTATGAACATTATCAACTGTTTGATAAACAGAACAGATACTGAATCAAAATATAAGAATTTAATATTTTTCAGATAATTATTGTATGCGAATTATAAATAAACCATGGTACAGTTTATGCTTCCTTCCGTGTTCCGTTTATCGATGATTGACGATTATCAAAAATTATTGATGATTTTCATCGTATGTATTTTTGTACCTATGATCTTTGCAATTATTTACAGTCATTGCTATTATCTACATGTTACAATACTATATTTTATACTTACCACAACATTATATTGCTTAAAAATTAAAACCATTGGTTTCCAAAGTTTTTTTGGCGGAAACAGGAATCTTTTTTATTTTTTGCGGAAAAGAGCTATGGCGTAAACGAGTTATATTATTTTGGCGGAAACGGGTAACTCCCAAATAATAGATATACATTTATTCCGTTAAAATCTTTGATTTATTCTATTTTATGGTTTCATAAATCTTAGAGTAGGTATCTACTATTAGTTTTACCTGTAATTTATCTATGTGTATTTTTAAATTAAAATTTTAATTCACCCAATATAATAGTTAACTAAAAAATTTACATAGCTTTTATAATTTATTTAAATACCTACATAATAATAAAATGCATTTTTAATTCAGGATATTTTTTTTGTAAAAATCTAGATTTTAATATACTACGAAAATGCTGAAGTATTCAAAACTATTTTTAGGTTTTCTAAACATTAAGTCTTGATAATTCCTTATTTTTTAATTTATCACTAATTTTGCTAACAAATTAAAATTATGGGTATGTTTATTCGAATAATGATTCAAATAATATATACTGTAAAAAAATAAATTATTCAGAATTTTATGTTTGCCATTTAAAAAAACAATTTTATAACTTATAAGTTACAAATATAGTTCTTAAAGGTTATTAGGAGATTGGGTCATCAACTCTGTAAACCTGTTATCTTACTTTTGGCATTATTTTTTAGTGTATGTTGGTATTAGATATTCGATTAAACAAACTATTGTTGTTAATAACCAAAAAATATTTTAGTAAACAATTAAATTATTGAACTTAATTGAACACATCAAATAGTTCATTCATTTATTGGTAGTTCTAGGGTAATCCATTAGTAAGACATTTATTATTTCAAAAATGATTAATATTTTTACATAATTTTAAGTCGTTAATATTTTTATTGTTATCGGTATTTTATTTTTTTTGTTTTATTATTTTTTAACATGCATTTTTAATTTCTTGTTCATAAATCGTGTATTTGTTGGAGTATTTCGATTCATAAAAATCGAATTTTGGGGTAGTAGTTTATATGAGCGGTGCCATAGCACAAGGTTACTTGCTAACTGTCTAGTTAATAGGTCCACTATTCCGCTTTTCAGTATTTTAAATATTTAATAGTTATTAGTAGTAACTTATTATTAATGAACAGTTTTATTTCCGAAATTTGATTTATAGATTAAAATATTCTAAATGATAATCTACATAGGAATATAAAATTAAATATGATTTTAAAATGTAAATAACTCATTTTTTCCCCAAAAATACTGTATTTAACAACTTGGGATTATATAAAAGAAATTTTATAAAAATACGTTAGTATTTTCTGAAATAATTGATTACCTACTCCTTATAGACTGTTGACAATATTTTAAAATCTGGTGGTTGATGATTTCTAAATTATAGATGACCATAATTTAAAAAAAAAGTGCACAAAGAAT